CTCTACGTGTCAGAGTCTCGCTTGTCGGCGGCGATGCTCTGTTTCGATTGGTCAAAGGCTTTCGACCGGGTGTCACTGACCTTTGTTTTTCGTGTGTTGGAGCGGCTTGGGTTTCCGCCTATGTTCGTTCGTTGGGTGCGCATGTTGTACATTTGTTGTTGTAGTCGAGTTTGCATCAATGGGTTCATGAGTGCTCCATTCCCTGTTCGCCGTTCTGTGCGGCAGGGTTGCCCCCTTTCTGTGCTTCTTTATGTGCTCTTTCAGGAGCCTTTCTTTCGGGTGGTCAAGGCTTGTGCCTTGGTAGTCCCTCCCCGGTTGCCTTCTGGTCTTCGGTTGCCCATCTGGGGTTATGCAGATGATACCGTTCTGTTCGTTGCTTCTGAGGGTTCTGTCGGAGCTGTGCAGGCCGTTTATGAGAGGTTTGAGTTGGCCACTGGAGCCCTGGTTAATCGTGCTAAGTCTGGTATCATGGGTGTGAGTGGGTGGGCCTCTCGCCTTGTGTGGGAGGGGTCGTGGTTTCCAGTGGTCTTCTCTCTGTGGGTTCAACCCGTTCTCGCACTTTCTTATAGTCAATATTGACTTATTAAATAAGCGCATATGTGACATACTAATTTATTGTGAATATTTTAGTTTACCTTGAAAAGCTTCATAGAAAACACCGACCTTACCTAACCTTCTTAGTATGTTAAAATAAACAACTTATTGCTTCTTAATTGCAATTATTACTTAACCTATTATAGGTATAGGTTAAGTAATAATTGTAATTACGAAGCAATAAGATGCTTGTCTTAACATACTAAGAAGGTTAGGTGAGGTCGGTGTTTTCTATGAAGCTTTTCAAGGTAAACTAATATATTCACAATATATTAGTATATCACAAATGCACTAATTTAATAAGTCAATATTGACTATAAGAAAGTGCGAGAACGGGTTGGCGGGTTCTGGAGATCACCTGGTTCGCTTCCTACGAGCGCTCTTTGGAGGGAAATTGAGGTGCGGTCTCTCGTAGTGTTGGCCTTGCAATTGGGATGTTGTCAGCGTGCCCGTTAACGATCTATCAGCGGGCGTTGCTTGTTACCTGTAAAGTGTTGTCGCGTGTGTGGTTCATGCCTGAGTGCTTCCCTTTAGATCGCCAGAAGGCTCTGGAGTTGGACCATCAGGTGTATCGTCATGTGTGGTGTGGTCGTTACCACCCTGTTCGTTCCTCGACGTTGGTGTTGGCTGTGCAGGAGGGTGGTGTCGGAATTTCTGACATGTTTACCAAGGCTAGGGCGTTGTTCTGGGTCTCGTTGAGACAGGGGTTGAAGTTGGGTGGGGGCTTAATGCTTTGTGTGTTTTTTATTGCTCAGATCGGTTTAGTTTCTTGGTGGATTTGGGGGTTATCGGAAGGTGGCTCTGTGTACCCCTCCTGTATACTCTTGAGCGGTGGACATTCTTTGGGCTCTCTGCCGTAGTCCTGGCTTTAAGTCTCTTTCGAGTAGGGCTGTATATCAGGTGTTGTTCTGTCGTATCCGTGCTCGGGTGGAGGCCTTGTTCCCGTGTTGGGATTGGGGGGGGGGAGGTGTGGGCGGCGTTTGGGAGAGGGGCAGTTTTTGCACCACAGCAGCGGGAGCTGTTGTTTCGTATGTTGCATTTGTTGTTAGCAGCGAATGAAAGGCTGTGCATGGTGGGAATGCACACCTCTGCAGAGTGTGTACACTGTGGGCTACCTGAATCGCAGGTGCATGCCTTTTATTTTTATGAGCGGTTGCGTGGTTTGGTTGATTGGTTTCAGGATGTAGTGGAGGTGGTTTGTGGGCCGGGGTTTCGGGGTGATTTTTTGCGGTTTTTGTTTTTGTCTTTTCAGAGGGGGTTCTAGTCGGGTGCGGAATACTTTATGTATTCCCATTGCTAATTATGTGTATTGTGTGTGGGTTGGTCGGAGGGAGGGCTATGGGATTGTGCGGGTTTTGGGCTTTTTGCGAGGTTGTATGCGTTAAACCTAGTGGTGGTTGCAGTGCACCTTTCTGACGGCCTTTTGCGGTTGGTTTACTGATGCATATGTTCGTGGGGTTGCCTTTGCGTGAGTGGGGGCGTTGTTTATTTTGGGGGGGTGTCTCGTGTGGGGTTGGGGGGTCTTCGTGTGGCTGGGTGTGGGATGGTTCGGGTTGGGTTCTTGACTCTTGGTTGTTGGGTGGTGGGGTGGGTCTGTTAGTGTTCCATTTGAGGCCCAAACCCTTCTGGGGACCTTCTCGGCGGAGGCTGGGCCAGGAGAGTGTGTTTTGTTTCTGTTGAGGCTGCTCCTGTGCTTGTGTGTATGTGTGGGTGTGTGTGGGTGTGCTTTCTTTCCTGGCTCTTGCGTGGGCTTCTGCTTGGGTGGATGTGTTTTGGTGTTGTATGCCTTGCTCGCGCCCGGTGTGTTGGGATGGCGGGCATGTTGGTGTGTGGGTTGTGTATGTTGTTGTTCTGTGTTTGTTACATGGGTTGTTTGTGTGGTTCATTATTTTGTTCTGTGCAATTTTATTCCTTGTACCTCTTATGCTATTTATATTATGTGTGTTTTATTGCTCCTTTGGAGCCCGCGATATTATGTTAAACGCACATTTGTGTTATGGGGGTGGTTGTCCTTATGTTCCTATTAGTTGTTATTACTTATGCCTTCTCTATGTTGTATTTTGTTTGTTTCCTGTGCCATGTGTTATGTCATGTGCTGTTGTAGTTTTGTGCTGCTTGCCTTTTGTACTCTTTCCTTTGCCTCCTTGTATTTACATTATGTATGTTACATGGTTTTTGTAGTATTTTTTTCATATATTGGCACTTTTCTTGTATCATTATGTTATTCTTTCCTTGTTGCCTGTTTTGTACTTTGGTTTGTTACATCAATAAAAAAAACTGGTAGCAATGTCGCAGCTACTCCAGACGATGCAAGAGCAAAGGTTATGCCATTTTGGGATCGAAATGGTGCCAAAATCAATAATTAGAAAGGTTTTATAGTTCCTCCTGGCGCATCTAAGAAGATTTCTCCAAACCCGTTATTGACAGTTTGAATTATTTGATCGTAAATACCTTTTCGCTCAAGCGTTAGCTTAAGAATATATGATTGCACATACGATAACAGATCACCCGTGTTGTAATTTTGTTCTCGACGCAATTCTACATTGAACGAAGCAGCAGCAGATCGATTCGGTGATGGCATTCCCAATTGAATGAGAACGTTGTTAGCGATTTCTAAGCACAAATCTTCACTCATTATCAACGCTTCGTTGTAGTTTTCTGCTGTGAAATTCATGTTCATATATGAATTTTCTTTGCGTATTCGCCGGACAATATCTTCAGCCATGTGCGATTAGTGTTTCTCCCATACTCTGTTGCAGATGGAGAGCCGGTTGTCAATATGATTGCAAACAATGCACGAATTTGATTTGGATATGACGTGGTGAACGTGCCATTAATACATACATCCCAGTGTCGGTAGTTCTCTAATAAATTCAGAGCCGAACATGCACTACGGAAAGTGGCATGTGTGACGCCGCTGACAAATCTCAATTGCTGGAAAGACGTTGGACCGGGCACATTTACCAACAGCTTGCGAAGAAAGAAGCATTCATCTTGATTGGAATGCATGGTGTACAGTCTTCCTATCGTAATTTGATTGAATATGCCAGGTTGTCTGTCGACTCGCTCTCCTTGTTTACGTAGTTCAAATTATATTCTACTGACATTCCATGTGTAATACGTAGCCACTTCCGAATACAGCAGTGTTTTCGCAAACGCGTCATTTTGACATAACGGGAAGAAAGCAGTTAACGTTCTAGCCAGTGGATTCATAGCTGTTTGTTGCACATTTGCAGCTGTGAAATAAACGTGTTGTCCATTTTCTTGTTTTCAAAACAAAAACAAAAAATACTAATGAAATATTTCAGTTCAAACGCCGATCAATCGACACAGCTTATTTCACCATCAATTGCACTGAAAAATAAAAACCAGTTAAAAAAACGGAATGAAAAACAATGAAAAAAGAAACAAATAAGATATACCCACGAAATGAACAGTATGGTAAACAACACAGCTCAATTCCAACGCAATGTCACACAAAATAATTAAATCAAAATGAAAATAAATTAAAATCTATGAAAATTCAATATAACAATGAAATCGGAAACATTTAAATTGAATTGTAACATATCTTGTATATCGTATGTTGCTCTTACGTGCAACAGATGGCGTTGTTTTTTTTAAAAAATGCATGTTTTTATCTGTTACAGGTGTTACACCACTGACAAAGTAATCTAAATAGTAGGTATATCAAAACACGCACGTATTCGAAAGGAACGTTGTGTCAAAATTTAAAAGCAATCGGTGAAGAACTTTCAGATATTACTGTGTGTGTTGCCCATATGTCCTACAGATGGCGCTGCTTTTCAAAAAAGCATGTTTTTTCCTGTCACAGGTGAGGCATGTATATAGTAGGTATATAAAAACACTCGCCTATTCGAATGCAATGTTGTGTCAAGGTTTCAAAGAAATCGGTAAAGAGGTTTCGAAGATTTCCCTCACTTGAAAAACACACAAAAAACGTCAGCTTTAAAAAAAAAACTTGATTTTTCCCATCACAGACGTGACATCCATATAGTATGTATATAAAAACCCGCGTGGATGCGAATGGAGCGTTGTGTGAAAATTTCAAGGCAATCGGTGAAGAACTTTCGGAGATTAGAGATTTTGAACAAACGAACATTTCCAATTATATTTGTATTGATGATTTCCTTTTTTTTTTAGGTAAAATTAACGTGGAAATGTGTCTAAACCTAACCTTCCTAACCTATCCTTACCTAACACACCTAAGTCAGTAATTCATGTTCTTAATATAATAATATTAATTCAAATAAACTATTTTGATTATTTTTAAATATCGTAAATCACTCTGCTTGTTAGAAAAACAGGGCCTTTTATACTAGGTCACGTAGTGCATTCAATCTATTAGGTCCGATATAACACCAATTTAGGCATTTCAGGCTAGGATGGTGTTATTGAGGCATCAAATAGTCATGGCAGTTGTGATGATGAGAGCCGCGCCTGTGGTCTGTGAGGAAGTGGGTGAATCCGTGGAGCAGATGGGCGGGATGTTGAATCAGATGGGCTTGGCGGAGGGTCAGGATGGGGAGCAGGTGGGCGTGATGGTGAGTCAGGTGGTGGAGCACCATCTCCCCAGCTGTCACCTGGTGCTCATCACCACTACACGTCACTCAACTGTTACCTCCACTATACTCAGGTAAACAGTTCTCAAAATCAACATTTGATCGTTTCACTATTATCCCACTTCCCTTCATTCATCTTTCCCACTTTCAGAATTATATAAAATGAGAAATAAACATGATGTGGAGTTTATCAGGATTTGCCTCAAGAGCATATAATTTACAAGCAATATTATTATAAAATTTCGTCACAGGGCAAAAAGTATGTAAAATAGTGTACCGTGCACGCCCTCAGACGCCTGAGTGTGGACGGGGAGACGGGCATGGTGGTGGCGGAGACGGGATCCGTGTTCTCCCAGGACCAGCAGTCACAGAGCAACCTCATCCATGGGCTGTGGGGAATCCCCACAACCACCTGTCGGGGACTCATCCTCGACCTATCCGTCGGCAATAGTTCCGCCTCTGTTCTCAAGTATTTCATGATTTGCTTAAATAAGTAATCTGTTGACCAGACCACACGCTAGAAGATGAAGGAACGACGACATTTTGGTCCGTCCTGTACCATTCTCAAGTCGATTGTGAGAATGGTCGACTTGACTTGAGAATGGTACAATCGACTTGAGAATGGTCCAGGACGGACCAAAACGTCGTCGTTCCTTCATCTTCTAGCGTGTGGTCTGGTCAACATACTTCAGCCACGTTATCATGACTCATCGTCTGTATAAGTAATCAGTATTTTTTTCCTGTAGTTCATCTGGAATGATCCCATACGCATCTTGTGAGTACAGTCGAGGAAAGGTATTCCTTTACCCTTCAGGTCCTTTTGAACTACAAAATAGCCCATTGTTCAAAACACCACTTGGTCAAAACACCACACGATGGTTTACATATTTCTCTCCGTCATCTAAAGGAAAAGAGGATGGCATTGAATGGTATATGTAGATTAGTGAACGAGAGAAATGGTTCTTCTTTTATGCTGAAGAGTTTATTGACCTTCCAAGTAATTAATATAACGTATGATAATTGGTCGTATTGGCATTTGGTTCCTGAGGCAGACGACTGGGCGTCGCACACAAAATGGTTAATATAAAATTGGTTTGCAAACATTTACATATGCAAATAAAGTTGGTATACCTTAGGCGAATAATATTATCAAGAACTAGTTTCGCATCAGTATTCAGATATAGAAAGGAGTATACGAATGTAATGTAATTTAAATGATATAGATAAATATTATCATCATCATCTAATATACTGTCAGCTGAAGGAGATAGTAAAATGGATAGTGATTATGACTTGTGTATTTAATTCATGAGAACAACTATTAATAAATGAGGTTATTAAATACATTACGTAATAGTACGTATATTTAACCAAATAATTATGAGAGATTGAGAGAGAGACAAAGAGACAAAACCACACACAGACACAGATCTACAGACACACTTAAGTTGCAAATGTGTTATGTGAATTTTCTGATCAAATTATATTAGTAATTCATTGTCATTTAAAGATTATCGTATACTCAACAAACTACCATATGATCAATGTTAAATTAAATAGTTACTTGCTCCATGAAACGCTTAAAACTTTAATGGGCAAACAGTACATATATACACTTCAGTATTTTTTTTTATTTTTTTTTTATTTTTACGTACATACATGCGAATAAATACAATAAAACAAACAGAACACAAACAATGTACAAGGCACAAAACAATGAAATACAAATACACTAAGTACCGGCCTGAAGGGCCGACAACAAAAACACCACAATGATCATAACCACAATGCAACACATTACAAAATTAACAACAATACAATACAGTAGGGTAATGTAAGCGTTACATGTAAGCATGCGTACAAGGACAATAGCACGAGTACAAAACACAAACTACACAAAATCACAGAAGTACAAAATTACATACATACAAATTACAGGCCTGAAGGGCCGACAACAAAAACAATAAGCACAACGGTACAAGTACAAAGAACCTAAACCCGCGCCAAACAACCCAACCATTGAAAACACAAAAGCCTACTGGCCCCAGATACCACACGGAGAAGCATGAATACATAACGACAATAAAACTAAATGAAACACAAAAATAAATTTAACAAAAATAAATGACACACAAAAATAAATTTAACAAAAATAAATGAAACACAAAAATGAACCCAAAAGCTAAAGGAAAATAACATCAACAAACAGTTGGAACAAAAACAGGCAGGGCCACTCAAGCAGCCCGAAGAGCAGCAACAACCACACAACAAGCACGGAGCACACAAGAACCGGGAAAACAAACCTGGCACACCCACACACCCACACCCAAGCACACAGACATAACACCACAGCACATGATGCACACACACACACACACACACACACACACACACACACAAAATCGAAGGGAGAAAACACTTCAATGGAAGGCGAGGGCGCCATTAGGAAGGGCAATCAGGACCCCACCAACCCCACAGTCCCCTGCGAAGGCGCACCAGAGCCCTCGACAAGGAAGGCAACAGGAACAGTAGGCGCATCATCTGGCAGCCCTGCAGCGGAGGGCGCCACAAGAACGTCGGCAACCACACTCTTCGTAGACTTCGTAAACTTACTGACATAATCGTCAGTGCATCCCGTCCAATACCTTCCACACCAGCGGACCCCACCCACTGAGCATCCTCAACAGCCTTTGGAGCTTCACTGCCCCCAGAGAGAGCCTCGGGAGCCACAGACCCCAGCAGGTTACCAGAGGGAGGAGCAAGAGGAGGGGTGCACGCCACAGCAGCCCCAGCCGTTGACCCTCCTCGCTTGATGGGAGGATTGGTGTCCGAGGAACGCGTCCGTGCCTCCCACTTACGATGGGGCTGATCCGACGCCGCGACCGGGGAAGGCCCTCTAGAGCCACGAGAGGAACGCAGCGCCACGGGAGCAGCAGTAACCACGTCGGATGCATGGCCACCAGACGAAGGAGCAACACCACACGGAGGACCTGCAGGATCGTCACTCCCACCTATACATGACGGAGCAGCTGCCACAGACGTACCCGACACTACGTCATTAACAGTTGAATCCCGGTGAATCTCCGCAGTGATGACGTGCACAGGAAGTGAGGCTGTTGCATCAGACACCAACGGGCCAGGTGGGCCAAACTGCTGAACAGGCGGAGTAGAAACATTAAAATCAGAAGGCACCAACGATGGGGAGGGGTCGCGGGGGACACTCACGGCCTCCACAACAGCCGGCTTGGCCCCCCAACGGGGGAAAATCACCCTCCTGAAAAAGGGCTGGCCTCCCCACCCCGGAAGCAGTGCAACCGGCCACAAGATGCCCTCACAAGCCACACCTCATAGAACACCCCAGATCCCCATAGAATACCCGCAAGTTAAAGCTGTAGAACGTGACCTGAGAAGGAATATCATGTGTCAAGCGCATGCCAAGGGTCCGCACATTGGTCCTCAAGTCCGACAGGCGGCCTGAGCGGAGACAAGTTATGTGGTGAGTGAATACAGTACCGTACCGAGAGAAGCAGGTGCGAAGGACCTCCTCGGGAAAGTCCAAGGGAACTCCATGGATGCTAACAAACGTCGGCGCTACACACTGGTCCGACACCACCACAGTACCAGCAGAGCCCGGGAGCAGGAAAGAACGCCCAGCAAAATCACTCACGAAGCACTGATATGGACCAGGGGCAGAGAACTTTACCACCACACGGCTGTCAGAGATCTTCTCAAAGCCGTAAAGAGAATGCAGGTCCACCCGTAAAACATCCAAAAGTGCCACCTCCACCAATGCCCAATCAGCAGCCGCCGAGAACGCCAACCCGTGGAATCCACCCTCCGAATCCGCGTCACTGACGACGCCATAACGCCAGCCACCCCCACAGGCTAGCCGGCACAACACACCAACAACACCGACCTGCTCACATCAAACGTCAGCCAACAACAGAGAGCGCCAACGCCATGACCACACCCTGTAACGAGCATGCAAGAAATCCCCACACTTCGGCATTTGGCTGAAAGCTATACGTGATATACTGGGTGGCTACTGACACTCTAGTGGCCTCGACGAGGATAGAAAGCTGGTAGCTTGTCAAAGGTCCGCCCATTTATCCTGATGATTTTTTATCAATCAGAATGCTACAAATCGGCAGTGTTTTGTCATTTACAGCTTCAGCTGGTAGCCGGTCTCATGGGTTTATAAACGTATGGGTGAAGAAACATCTCTTGTTTATTGTCCAAAAGAGTGGCATGTTGAGCTTGACTTAATTGTTACTCGTCTGTGTTGCATCCAACCTATTGAAGCAGTGTTCTAGATCAATATCCGCCATACTGTTGAATACTTTAAAAATCTTTGACCAAAAGTATATTCAAGACTTGTTCACATTAGAGATTTAGACAGCTTTGAATTTCAAGAAAAAGTTGGAAAATGTCAAATCAAATGTCAAATATATTTATATTTAGCCATTATTTACATGCACTACTGGTATGTTCGCTTGCGGCACCTATTGTTTAAGTGTCATTCTTAAGGTTTACCAAATAACAACACTGGACTATCTTCTTTTACTTTTCTGTTTCAAATGCAATGAAAACAATGGACAACCATTTGTGCAGATCCACCGGAACATTCAAATGCTAAAGAAAAAACTGAAGTTAATGAATCTGACAAAAATGCTGGCAAAATTATTTATTATGAAACATGAATATATATAACGATTCACTTTTACGTTTCAGTTATAATCTATTGTGTCTTGCTATTATAATCTATTGATGAGTCACAATAATGTGGCTGAAGATATGATGACCAAACCACACACCAGAAGATGAAAAGACGTCGACGCTTCGGTCCCTCCTGGACCATTACCAAGTCAATTGTGATGGACGCGAGATTAATTTATTGATGATGATTAAGCCACCTAAGGAGGTGGCACGGGCATGAAAAGAACGTAAGCATTATTGTTACAGTCACTATGGACCAGTAACCGGGTTCTTGATGCATGAACCTTGTTTGTAGTAACCGACTCCAAGTCGGTAGTACGCTTTCAAGATTTGGCTATATAGTGTAATAATAAGGGGGTGCAATACGTAAGTTAGGAATTTAAGTAAGTTAAATATGCAATAGATAGGATGCAATGCAATAATAGGGGGGGAGGGATGAACAAAACACTATTCCCTTTAACAGTATATATACACATAAAATATATTAAAATAGAGTATTTGTACACTTATTTACAATGGTGTCTCTTTCACTTAGAACACCAAAAGCGCTCACACGCAGGGTTCGCCAACCCCAGTGTTGCCACCATTCAGTACCTAGTCCACTCGTACTGAGAAACACTGGCGAGTTCATATTTTACGTGGGCCAGCCCACTGACACTATCATGAGGTGCGTATACCCTACTATCGCTCTCCAGCCACTCGCTGGGAGAGGATCTCAGCCGCACACGCTTGTCGGGGTCACAAAACAACCAA